TAGATCTCTGTTATATCTAAGAGCTTGCTACAGCTTGGATCTCCCTGGTCCAGAAACTTTGGGATCTGACTGGTCCAGGATGAGGGATTTTGTCAGACCAGGGTAGATCATTTCTGAGCCCTGACCTCCCGGCTGGCTTCCCCCATGCTGCCAGCACCACTGGGCAGCCTCACTGCAGCGCTTTGGACTCTACAACTCTTCCATGAATCTGAGAAAGAAAGGACTTGAGGAGCTATGTGAATCACTCTGTTCCAAAATATTTATATATGGTCTCATCTCTTGAGAGCTGCAGTAATCTTGAAGCATTAGAGTGCTTAGATGTGCTTCCTTTTGTATGCATCTGTAATTATCACTGATGGAGCTGGAGGGGAGAACAACAGCCCGTGCAGAACATTTGCACTTTCAGTCCTCCATGTCAAAGAAAGCAGAATTGTGTATCCATCAGGAGCCAAAGCTGTAGTGTTTGCATTCTGAGTCAAGCTTATGGAATGGCTTAAGTGGCGGAGGCCACTAAGCCTATGAGCGTTAGAGAAAACATTACTCTTTGAGAACAGTGTTGCTGAGGTGTGTCTGTGGGAGACTGAAGCATCTCTCAAGCCAGGAAAGCCCTGCTTGCTTAAGCATCAAGAACTGCTCCTCTGAAGGAGCTTCTCTGTGCCACATGCAACAAGGACTTTTTATGCTGGTCAAGAGTCCTAGCTCTGAGAGAACGTGTGACAAATGTCCTTGAAATGCCCAGACTTCGTGGATGAGCAGACAGATCAGAAGATAGTACCTTGTACTGGAAATGCTGCTGCCCTACACAAAACAGAACTACTTGCCATAACTTGATCTTATAAAAATATGGAAATAGGCATCCTTTAAATAGAAAGCTGCAAACTAGTCTAGGATAGGCCAGGAAGATAAGATTCAGTATCAACATGAAGAAATGGAATTTACTGGAGAAGGCACTCAGCTTTCCTAAAGCTCTGTCATTAATAGGGACTAAATCTTAGATCTTGACACACTTTCATGCAAGGAGTCCCTGACGAGGGAAGGGTGAAGAGGGTTGGTGGAGGCAGGTAACTATCTTCTATATTCTCTGGAATGGAGACATTATGGATTTCCATGTGTAGGGAGGAGGGTGTTAGAACATAAGAACGGCCACACTGGGTCAGACCAAAGGACCATCCAGCCTAGTACCCTGTCTGCCGACAGTGGCCAATGCCAGGTATACCAGAGGGAGTGAATCAAACAGGTGATGATCAAGTGATCTCTCTCCTACCATCCATCTCCACTCTCTGACAAACAGAGGCTAGGGACACCATTCCTTACCCATACTGGCTAATAGCCATTAATGGACTTAACCTCCATGAATGTATCTAGTTCTCTTTTAAACCCTGTTATAGTTCTAGCCTTCACAGCCTCCTCAGGCAAGGAGTTCCACAGACTGACTATGCGCTGTGTGAAGAAGTACTTCCTTTTATTAGTTTTAAACCTGCTACCCATTAATTTCATTTAGTGTCCTCTAGTTCTTCTATTATGGGAACTAATAAATAACTTTTCTTTATCCGCCCTCTCCACACCAGTCATAATTTTATAGACCTCTCTCATATCCCCGCTTAGTCTCCTCTTTTCCAAGCTGAAAAGTCCCAGTCTCTTTAATCTCTCCTCATATGCGACCTGTTCCAAACCCCTAATCATTTTAGTTGCTCTTCTCTGAACCTTTTCTAATGCCAGTATATGTTTTTTGAGATGAGGAGACCACATCTGTATGCAGTATTCAAGATGTGAGCGTACCATGGATTTATATAAGGGCAATAAGACATTCTCCATCTTATTCTGTATCCCTTTTTTAATGATTCCTAACATCCTGTTTGCTTTTTTGACTGCTGCTACACACTGCATGGGCGTTTTAAGAGAACTATCCATGATGACTCCAAGGTCTCTTTCCTAAGACAGAATGTTTTGGAACCTAATGTGAAACCTGAGTTCTTTGATGTAGCATCCAAAACATTGAATACTAGATGGGTGGTTTCTTCCAGAGTTAGACAGGAATTTCAAAGCCATGCCCATAGCCATCCTGTTCAAAGGCTTGTTGTATTGTAAAGTGTTCTCGGAAGGAGAGGAAGAAGCAGCATTCAAACATTTTCACCTTTCAAAGAATCAGTTTCAGCTTCAGGCTCCAGTTCCATCTGAGCCATAGCCTCTCCTTCTCACAGGATGTCAGGAACTATGAACAGAGACGGATCTTTAAAGCCAGGAGCAGTGGCTGGACCCAAATACCTTGGATCTGATGAACAAACTTTTCCTTAACGCTTTAGGAGAAAGGGATTTATCCACCAGTGATGCCAGGGAGTCTCCCGGAAGTTCAGAGATGATTTTTAAGTCTATACAGACCATGGTGAAACTTGCCAGTATGCACCTTTTGGCACCATTTTATAGCCAGGAGGGTAAAACAGGGTATGAGGTCCATCTCTGGAAGAACCCTCTGTGTTCTGAGAGTGAAATCTTGAAAGGAACTCCAGCTTAATCCAATTCAGTTTTTCTGACTGGATCCAACACAACTGGAGAAACCATAAGACCTACTATGTGTAAGATATGAAAATGTGACATATTAGGGAACCCTAGAGTTGATTTAGGGAGCAGTAAGGAAATATCCACTGAAAAATGAGACAACACTTCTGATCGCTTGCTGTTTCCTGGGAGCAGAGATCTGAGAGAGGTATTTTGCATGAGCTTTCCTCGTCTTGCCTTTAGCTAGGAAGTCTCATTGTTTTAGTACACAACCAGACTGCAGATCTCCATGGTGAACTTCCACTACCACAGTAACAGGGGTTGCTGAAGAAACTGCTGTCAGTGTCAGAGCTGCCTTAGGATCTGATAGTGCTCTTGGAACTGTTAACTGAGATTTGCATAGAGATTAATCAGATCAGTTCTGCTGACCTTAGGATTGGACAGGTCTAAGGAGTGTCCTCAGTTTGACTTGGCCCAGCGAACCAGAGCCTTATCCTTTCCTATCTTTTTCTGTGGGATCAGGTGACTAAGGAACCAACCTATGGAATTCAATGCTGTGGCTGAGTCTGGAACATGCATCACAGTGCTGCTCTTCTTTAATCCAGCTGTGTGTAGAGTTGACATTTCCTTTCTCTCTCCTTACAATTTATTTCTCGTCTCATTAGGTTCCAGTCTTGCAAGATGTTGAGTGTCCTCCTTTTCCATTGTTCTCAACAGAAGTACAGCATGTTCAACACCACAGGATCAGGTGTTTAGGCCTTGTCTACACAACACTTTTTTCTTTGAAGTCTCCTATCATTGTTAGCACAGGTGAAAATATACCAAGGTATCAGTGGAGGGAAATTTAAGCAGGGAAGGTCCCATGTATTCACAGCACAAATATGAACTACTGTGGCCGGACCTTTATCCTCATCTGTACAAGTACTGGTGCTGTGTACTTTGCTAGTAACAAGCAAATACTTACCTTTGCTTTTCTTCTGCCTTTTCCATTCCCCTGTACTCACCTGGATTTGTTTTTTCCATCCTTTTCTGTAGCATTTTCTTTCTGTTCTATAGGCTAGTAGCATCCACCATGTCACTTTATCAGTCTTATCAATCTTCTCTTCATCTGCTGGTTATTTTGAAAACGGTTGAAGCGTGTGGTTTTTTTTTTTTTTTTGGAAAGAAAAACTGGAATAATGATAATTGCTTACTAAATATGTGAAACAAGGAATTTTCAAAGCTGTTTTTAGAAACACCTCTTTAGAAGATGGGGGGCTTATATGATGGGGTGCAAGTGATACATCATGCACAAGTTATTTACATACTGTTGTACATACCACTTTTATGTTTGTTCTTGTACCATTTCTACTGGATCAACACCAATTTAAGAGTTATACTCAGCTCATGCTATCTGCAATAAAATGCAATTCTGTTTTTTACCTTCAAAGGAAGAAACTGGAATGAAAGGATCAACCAAAAATATCTTTTGCCATCATCGACGGTTTGCTAAAGGAGAAGTTGTTCTGGGAAGCTGAATGAACAAATCATGCCTTTCTGGCAAGATTGTGCCAGTTGATAAATTTGAGCCAGTTGATAAATTTGAAAATCCAAAGCCACTTTTGAAATCTGTAGCCCATGAGCTAACACCCAGAGCACAGAAGATACACATCAGGTTTGTAGGAAATGCATTTTCTGAGGGTCAGCAATATGTAATGATGTTGTTATAACAATTCACCAAATGGAAGTGTGGCTTTCCCCATTAAGGGGAACATCACCACATTAGTGCTTCAGCTGTGTACGTCTCAGCAGGATGCAGAACCACACCAGACTGAGCTGCTCTGAATCTGCATGTTCAAACTGAAACCATTGCTGCTGTAAATTCATTAATTATTTCAAAACTTTTGAACTGAGACAAATTCATATCGCCAGTTGGCTGTAACTATGGGTACATCTAAGCTACATGGCTCCGTCGACGGAGCCATGTAGATTTGTTGTTTTGGCAAAGGCAAATGAAGCCGCAATTTAAATGATCGCGGCTTCATTTAAATTTACATGGCTGCTGCGTTGAGCTGACAAACAGCTGAACAAAGGGCTTTGATGTCGGCAGGGGAGCGTCCAGACTAGTGCGCTGAGCGGACAAACAGCTGATCAGCTGTTTGTCGGGTCAGCGCGGCAGCCATGTAAATTTAAATGAAGCCGCGATCATTTAAATCGCGGCTTCATTTGCCTTTGCCTATGTGTCTAATCTACATGCCTCTGACGACAGAGGCATGTAGTCTAGACACAGCCTATGATCAGGCCATAATTCCTCTGCTTGTTGGAAACAACTGCTTAGAGCTTCAGGCACAGCAGGCTATGGGTGAGGGGGAATGCCTCATGTTCTGATCCATGAAGAAACAATGTAAAGAGTATTTAATCTGATGACGGTGCCTTCAAGTAAAAGAACTTGAGAGAGCATGCAGAGGGCACCTCAGATCCAGTACTGACACAGTAAAAGTGCAATGAAATAACAACCACTAACATGCAACCTATTACTGCTATTTATTATTTGTATTACCTATCTGTTAAAGCAAACCATTTTGAACAGAACATTGAACAGTTGTGGTTTTTTTTTTTCAAATTATTCTTGCACTGCTTACATCCAAGCTTTACAGCTTAGTACTGCGTTCCAGTCAGATCTCAAACTGAACAGGGTAGTCGAGAGACAGAAGGTCTTCAAGGAGCACTCATGTGCTACCAGAAGTAGTGTATTCAGTGAATTTGTCTTCTGTCTTAAGCTCTTAACTAGCAAACACACATTCGTAATTTTACTTCCACAAGTGCTCCTCCTCTTTTCAATGGGACCACTCACAGCAGTAAAGTTAAGTACCTGAATGAGTGTTTGGAGAGTCAGGGCATAGCAGCAAACCAGTACCCCAGCTTCCTGCAGTACTGTGGTAGACGCTGTCTTGCCATTTTCAAAATGAAACAACACAGATTCTGAGAACGAATGATCATTAAAATGTCACAAGTACATTACTAATTACAGTGGTCAAATTGCAATTCACATATTTCACATTTTACCTGCAGTTTAGTTGGAAAAGTGGTGCAAGGCGTAGTTATTTCTATAAAGCTTTCTGTTCATTCAATAAAGGATTCTAAGTATTATTAATGAGCCTGATTCTCAGTTTGGAAACTTGTAAGCAAAACCATGAGCAGAGTGGAGAATTCTATCTTTGTAGCACTTCACACCCAATTTGCACAACATTTGTGACTACAGGAGGTACAAGGCAGAGCAGAATCAGGCCCAATCTGATTATATTCCTGCTCTAAAGTAAATATTAAGCAGCTGCAGATAACAGATTGCTAGCGTGGCAAAATGAGTTAGTAAGCATAGGAAGAGAGCAGCTAAGGCAGCTCACAGAGATACACTTTCCCCTGTCTAATCCACTCCAGTGTTTCTCAACAAAATTTTACTAAAACCTGCAAGGTCTACCTACAGATACAAGAGTTCAAATCTTTAACAGCTGGGACTTTATAGTAACCTCCAGGAAACAGGTGGATGAACTGGTATTTAATAAACATCAAACACCTAAAACAAGGTCCAGCTGGAGCTACCCCACCCCTAATGCAAGGGTGGGTAATAATTTTCAGGGAGGTGTGTGTCACTCCAAGATTTTTGGTAAGTGGTTGAGGGCCGCAATTTTCAATTATATTAGTGCAGGGAGCATGGGATCTGGGACAAAGTGTGGGCACAAGAGGGAGTTCTGGGCAGGAGACTGGGGTGCAGAATCTGGGAGGGAGTTGGGTACCGGAAGGGGTTCTGACCTGGAGTAGGGGTGTAGGAGCAGATCCAGGACCTGGGAGGTAGTTTGGGTCCAGGAAATGATTCTGACCTGGGGCAGGGAGTTGAGGTGTGGAAGGGGGTGTGAGGTGCAGGTTCTGGTGCTGGCTGGGAGGCACTCCCAGTTGGCAGCACAGTGAGGCATTCTGGTAGGCAGGCTGCCTTCCTGCCATGGTGGCCACTGAAAGGCAAATGAGTCTCTGTGCACTTCTTGGGAAGTAGGGAGGGGGTGGATCTCCACATACTGCCCGTGCCTGCAAGCACTGCCCCTGCAGCTCTCATTGGCTGGCCAATGGGAGCAGTAAGGCTGGTGCTTGAGATGGGGGCAGCTCGGGGAGACCCACAGATGCCCTCTCCCCAAGGGACACAGAGAAACATGTTTGTGGCAACTGGCCGCTTCTGGGAGTGCAGCAGGCAGGCAGCCTGTTTGAGCATCCTGCTGCACTGTGGGACTTTTAGAGGCTCGGAGGATCATGCCAGGCTGAAGGAAAAATCTTTGGCAGGCTGCATCCAGTCCCTGGACTGCATTTTCCCCACACGTGCCCTTGCACCTTCATGGACCCAGAACTGTGTAGAGGAGACACCCCACCTTGGAGGCACTAAGTACCCAAGTGGTGCCTCGCCCCTTCCCTGTGCCCTGCAGGAGATGGGCTGAGAGAAGTCAACAGGCAGAAGATGCCAAAAGAAAGATATCTGGGCATTCGGCGAACTATCTACACTTCTGCTTGTACTTAAGCCATGTGCTGGTTGGCCATTCACCCTTCTCCCTGCTCTCTCCAACAGCCTCTTCACCTGAGCTTCATCTCACACCTGCCTCTCTTACTCTCATCTCCCCTGCCTAGCTCCCCTCACTTCCCTTTCCTTTTCCCCACTTAGCGTATCCCCTCCTAAGTAAACCCACCCCAAATAGGCGAGCGAGCAAATAAACAATAAAAAATAAACTGGGGAACTAACACCACTGGCTGCCATCCCATTCTTCATTCTACTGGTGTGTTCTAGCTCTTCCCTAGTCGGTGGCTATCTGGTCTATAGACTGTAAGCTCAGTGGGGCAGGGACAGCCCACTACAGTACTCAGAGCTTGCACAGAGCAAAACTTACTGACCAAGACATCAGTCTTTAACATTGTAGTTCCGGATTTTTTGCATCTGGTGGGAGATTTTTGACTTTTTCAGGTGTGAGAGCGATGATTTGTTAGCTATTAACTTTGGTTGAACTTCAAACTTGGTTCCTTTGACTGTCAAGTCAGCAGCTGATGCTCTTTCTTGATCCCCAGTTTTAATATTCTGCTGTGACTCTTCAAACTTCCTGGTTCCGTGGGTAGCTTTGCACTCTACTGCACAAAGAGAAGGAGAGAATGTAGGTGTTCTTTCATTTGCAGATATAAGTAAGACTGAAGAGCTGAGGAAAATGGAGTTACTTACTGTCAGTACTTTCTGTTCTCAGAATGGATTTCCTGCATAGAGACTGAGGGCATCACAGACCTGGCCACATAACCAACTTTGAGCAGTAGTCACAGGTAGGGGGCATGTAAATGTCCATTGAGCCCCCCTTAACACCTCTAACCCTGTTCTAACCCTATTTAATTCTGGGCTGTGTAACAGAAGGGAGTCAATTTGGTACATGTGCAAGAGTCACTGGTTTGATATCTGGGATGTGCCACCTCACTTCCAGAATGGCTCTAGGTCAGGGCTGCTCAACAAATGGCCCTGTGGGTAGGAGCCTTTGAACATGGCCTCCACTGAGAACACGTTCCACAACAGCGAGGCATCTCCCAGGCAGGGTGAGCACTGAAAGATGCAAGCAGACGGGCTGGCTGAAACAGATGCGTACAGAGTGTCAGCATTTCTAGCCCCCAGGAAGGATGTGCCAGGAGCACTGGGAGAAGTGCTGGTGACTTAGCCTGAGAGGTGCTGACTGGCTTACAATGGCCATGTTTGGGGCTGGCATCACGGCTTAAGGCTTAATCTTTGTATTCATGCCCATCAGTGTGAAAAGCTATTTGCATATACATTTGCATGTCACCAATTTAAGTGCAGCCCTCAGCAGGTGCTGTGAGAATCATTGTGGCCCCCAGGATTTCCAAAATTGAGTAGCCCTATTCTAGGTTTTTGGGGACAGCACATACATTAATGTTAACTGATAATTTAGGAGCCTCAACAACTGCGGTTAGCGATTGGATTTGAGACCTAAATACTGGTTAACATTGTGGGAAAAGATGGAATTGACCAATATCGATATTGACCAATATTCCAGAATTGATCTGGAACTCTGAGGAGGACACCACCAGCAGAAATGATTCCTCAGCAAAAGATAGTACAAGGAGAAAGATCCCAAGGGGTCAAAGAGCATGTCTGTTAATTTGTTCAACGTCAAACTCAAATCTAAGGGTATGTCTACACTACCCTCCTAATTCAAACTAGGAGGTTAATGTAGGCATACCGCACTTGCAAATGAAGCCCGGGATTTGAATTTCCTGGGCTTCATTTGCATAAAGCCGGCCAGCGCCATTTTTAAATGCCGGCAGTTCAAACCCCATGCCGCATGTAGTTTTTTGATGAGAGGGAGGGTACAATTTTGTGAGCCTCTTTAAAAATTACTGCACCAAGAGGTGTCTGTTTTTCAGGGTCATAGTAGACTAAAATAAACCTAATATTTAAAAAGGGCTCTAGAGGTGATCCTGGCAATTACAGACCAGTAAGTCTAATGTCAGTCCTGGGCAAATTAGTTGAAACTATAGTAAAGAATAAAATTGTTAAACACATAGATAAACATAATTTGTTGAGGTAAAGTCAGCATGGTTTCTGTAAAGGGAAACCATGCCTTACTCATCTACTAGAGTTCTTTGAGGGGGTCAACAAACATGTGGACAAGGGGGATCCAGTGGATACAGTATACTTAAATTTCCAGAAAGCCTTTGACAAAGTCCCTCATCAAAGGCTCTTAAGTAAAGTAAGTTGTCATTGGATAAGAGGGAAGGTCCCTTCATGGATTGATAACTGGTTAAAAGACAGGAAACAAAAGGTAGGAATAAATGGTAAGTTTTCCGAGTGGAGAGGGGTAACTAGTGGGGTCCTCCAAGGGTCTGTCCTGGGACCAATCCTATTCAATTTATTTATATAAGATCTAGAGAAAGGGGTAAACAGTGAAGTGGCAAAATGTGCAGATGGTACCAAACTGCTCAAGATAGTTAAGACCAAAGCAGACTGTGAAGAGCTTCAAAAAAGATCTCATCAAACTAAGGGTATGTCTACACTACAAAGTTAGTTCGAACTAACGGATATTAGTTCGAACTAACTTTCATAGGCACTACACTAGCGCTCCGTTCGAACTAGGTAAACCTCATTCTACGAGGACTAAGCCTAGTTCGAACTTACTAGTTCGAATTAAGGGGTGTGTAGCCCTCCCCAGCTTTCCCTGGTGGCCACTCTGGACAACACCAGGGAAACTCATCTGCCCCCCTCCTGGCTCCGGACCCATTAAAGGGGCACGGGCTGGCTACTGTGCCCATGCCAGGTGCAAGCCCGCCAGCACCCAGCCCGCAGACCCTGCACCT